ACTGAGATCAAAGAAATCAAACAATAAGGTACATCAATACATTAAATTATATGCAATGCCTGCTGACATCTCGGAAATATACCAACTAAACAGCATACAACAACAACAACAACAACAACAAAGCCTTTTCCCACTAAGTGGGGTCGGCTATATGAATCCTAGAACACCATTGCGCTCGGTTTTGTGTCATGTCCTCCGTTAGATCCAAGTACTCAAGTCTTTTCTTAGGGTCTCTTCCAAAGTTTTCCTAGGTCTTCCTCTACCCCTTCAGCCCTGAACCTCTGTCCCGTAGTCACATTTTCGAACCGGAGCGTCAGTAGGCCTTCTTTGCACATGTCCAAACCACCGGAACCGATTTTCTCTCATATTTCCTTCAATTTTGGCTACTCCTCCTTTACCTCGGATATCCTCATTCCCAATCTTATCCTTTCTCGTGTGCCCATACATCCCACGAAGCATCCTCATCTCCGCTACACCCATTTTGTGTACGTGTTGATGCTTCACCACCCAACATTCTGTGTCATACAACATCGCTGGCCTTATTGCCGTCCTATAAAATTTTCCCTTGAGCTTCAATGGCCTACGACGGTCACCCAACACGCCGGATACACTCTTACACTTCATCCATCCAGCATTTTATGGTTGAGATCTCCATCTAATTCTCCGTTCTCTTGCAAGATAGATCCTAGGTAGCGAAAACGGTCACTTTTTGTGATCTTCGCTAGATTGCTCCGGTCATTAGTGTGGATAAGTATATAAATGGATAGAGATAGGAAAGCAAACATAAGATGTACGTGGTTCACCCAGATTGGCTAAGTCCACGGAATAGAGGAGTTCTCATTAATTGTGAAGGGTTTACACAAGTACATAGGTTCAAGCTCTCCTTTAGGGAGTACAGGTGAATGATTTAGTACAAATGACATTAGGAAATATTGTGGGAGAATGATCTCGTAACCACGAAACTTCTAAGTACCGGAGTGTGGTATCGTCTTAACTTTCCTTATCATTCTCATAGGTAGATGTGACATCTTCTCTGGAAGTACTCTTCCTCCATCCAGGGGTGGTATCTGTAACTGGTGGAGATGCACAAGGTAATGTATCAATGTCACTTGAAGCTTACTTGTAGTTTCAGGCTTGGTCAAGCGCGATACAAACCATGTAGTAGGAGTCCCCCAAGTCGCCGAGCTAGGGGATCTGCTGAAAGAGGTAACAGACAAGGTAAACAATCAGAGCTCCGACTGATTGTTCACATTCTCCCTATCTTGCAGGCAACATGAAGGATAAAGAGAAGAAAAATGAGAAGAGATGATATGGGATACTTTTGCTTTTGAAGAAGTAACTTTCCACAGGCTTATTCTTAAATTGGGCTGGAGGGTTTTCTGGTTTCCTCCAGAGTATAAGGCCGACTGAAGAATTTGAAGGTCAAAACAAGTCCATCAAATCTAGAGTACGTTCGACCCTGCTGATATGGGATACTTTTGCTTTTGACAGAGTAGTGGATGTATCGGCACGTGTGCTGTTACGCTTGTCTCCACATGCTTCCTTGTATCCTTCTCACTTGCCCTATCTGTTCCTCAGGCAGATGCGGTATCTTCCCTAGAAGCATAAGATGTTGAAGATGAGTACTCGAGAGCAATGCCAGGTAAGTAATCAGGTAAGGGGTTCCAGGCAGTCAGTTCCTGGCTGGAAGCTTGATTCCAAGTGCTGACTGATTGCTCTCTTTCTCCTTGTCTTGCAGGTAAGAACAAGGCCAAAGGAAAAGACAGGGAAAAAGCATGATATGGGATACTCTTGCTTTTAACCCTGATGATATGAGATATTCTTGCTCTAGTATAGCTTGTTTACAGAGGTATTATCGGGGGGAAAGAAAGCTGAATATTTCGAAAGGCTTCATTGGGAGTGCCCTCTCAGATAAGAGGAAGGGTTGAGCATTTTTGCAGGTCTGCCTGTCCGTTGGGGATGGAGGTCGACATATATAGGAGTCTCCCTAACATCAAGTAATAATGTTATTCCTTTACCCTGCTTGGTCATAGCACGGTAGTGGGAGCTGCCAACTTCACAAGTTTTAACTCTGTCAGAGCAATTTGAAAAAGTGGTCTGTGGTATCTGGAAAGCTGATGTTGTGTGTGAAGATTACAGACAAGCTTTATCCAAGGAGATCCGGCTCTTGAAGTTGGGAAAGTGGTGCCTCTTCGGTTTTCGAACAAGCAATCCTGTCGGGGATCTGGCTCTCGAGATTCGGAGAACGATGCCTCTTCGATTTTTGAGAAAGCAATCCTGCTGGGGGTCTGGCTCTCGAGATTCGGAGAGCGGTGTCTTCGATTTTTGAGAAAGTAATCATGTTGGAAGTCTGGCTCTCGAGATTCGGAGGGCGGTGCCTCTTCGATTTTAGAGCAAGCAATCTTGTTGGGAGTGTTTTCTCGAATGTGAGTAAAGGTTGGGCATGTTTGCTAGTCTACCTTGCCACGAAACACAGAGGTTAACACACAGGGAATTTCCAATTATCCAGCAGTGGTACTGTTCTCTTACCCTCTCTTCGATTTTTGAGAAAGTAATCATGTTAGGAGTCTGGCTCTCGAGATTCGGAGGGCGGTGCCTCTTCGATTTTGGAGCAAGCAATCTTGTTGGGGGTGTTTTCTTGAATGTGAGTAAAGGTTGGGCATGTTTGCTAGTCTACCTTGCCACGAAGCACAGAGGTTGACACACAGGGACTTTCCAATTATCCAGCAGTGGTACTGTTTCTTTACCCTCTCTTCGATTTTTGAGAAAGTAATCATGGTGGGATTCTGGCTTTCGAGATTCGGAGGGCGATGCCTCTTCGATTTTGGTGCAAGCAATCTTGTTGGGAGTGTTTTCTCGAATGTGAGTAAAGGTTGGGCATGTTTGCTAGTCTACCTTGCCACGAAGCACAGAGGTTGACACACCGGGACTTTCCAATTATCCAGCAGTGGTACTGTTCCTTTACCCTTGTGGGTAATAATATGGTAGCTAGGCCTTCAAAATTTATGTGTCTAAACTTTGTTAGTGTTGTTTCTTTGCTATTCTTTTACCCTTCTTGGTCAGAGCGATGTAGTGAGAGCTGTAAGCTTCACGTGTCTCAACTTTGTCAGAGAATTTTGGCAAAGTTATATGTGATACCCATGAGCTACTGTTGCGTGTGGGAAGTGGGTGATTGAACAGTACGATTCATGTGCTTTCTACCTCGCCAGAAATCTTCGACAGAATGCCCATAATTTCCGCAAAGCTGAGTGTGCGTGTGACAGGTGCTGACAAGGCTGGAAAAGTAGTCTCAACTTTGTCAGAGAACTTTGGCAAAGTTATATGTGGTACCCATGAGCTACTGTTGCGTGTGGGTAGTGGGTGATTGAATAGTACGATTCATGTGCTTTCTACTTCGCCAAAAATCTTCGACAGAATGCCCATAATTTCCGCAAAGCTGAGTGCGTGTGACAGGTGCTGACAAGGCTGGAAAAGTAGGTGCCTCTTCGATTTCTGAGATCGGCCCTCGTGGTCTCTGAGCAGCCCAGCTTTTGAGAAAGCAAACCTCTTCGATTTTTGAGATCGGCCCTTGTGGTCTATGAGCAGCCCAGCTTTTGAGAAAGCAAACCTCTTCGATTTCTGAGATCGGCCTTCGTGGTCTTTGAGCAGCCCAGCTTTTGAGAAAGCAAACGCCTCTTCGATTTCTGAGATCGACCCTCGTGGTCTCTGAGCCGCCCAGCTTTTGAGAAAGCAAACGCCTCTTCGATTTCTGAGCAGGCGCCTCTTCGATTTCTGAAGCTTCGTCGAGTGCAGATTTTTATAGGGGCTGACATTAAGTTCCAAAGCACACTTGAATATCCACCAGTAGAAGCTCCATTCTTGCACTTCTAAGATCTTGATTTGTCCGACCTTTTCTCTCTTCAACACCTTTGAAAATGTCTGGCCCCTCCGACCGTCGTTTTGACTTGAACCTTGTTGAAGAGGCAACCCCGCCTTCTCTAGACAACATATGGCGCCCATCCTTCGTCTCCTCTACTGGTCCTCTTACCGTTGGGGATTCCGTGATGAATAATGATATGACCGCTACGGGTGTGGCCAGGAAACTTCTCACTCCCAAAGATAACAGACTACTTTCCAAACGGTCTGATGAGTTGGCTGTTAAGGATTCTCTGGCTCTTAGTGTTCAGTGTGCATGTTCTGTGTCTAATATGGCCCAACGCCTATTTGCTCGAACCCGCCAAGTTGAATCATTGGCTGCTGAAGTGATGAGTCTCAAACAAGAGATTAGAGGGCTCAAGCATGAGAATAAACAGTTGCACCGGCTCGCACATGACTATGCTACAAACATGAAGAGGAAGCTTGACCAGATGAAGGAATCTGATGGTCAGGTTTTACTTGATCATCAGAGTTTTGTGGGTTTGTTCCAAAGGCATTTATTGCCTTCGTCTTCTGGGGCTGTACCGCGTAATGAAGCTCCAAATGATCAACCTCTGATGCCTCCTCCTTCTAGGGTTCTGTCCAGTACTGAGGCTCCGAATGATCCCCCTCCGGTGCCTTCTCTTTCTGGGGCTCTACCGACTGCTGAGACTTCTCCTAAGCAACCTTTGTGAAGGCTCCCTCTTGTTTGTTTATTTTGACTCAAGTATATGTACATATTTGTAACTTATCGGGGATATCAATAAATAAGCTTTCCTTCATTTCAACGTATTGTGTTAAATCACCAAAGCCTTCTTCGCTAAGTTCTTTGAATTTTCTTTTGTTGAAGCTTGTATGTTGAAGCTTTGTGAATGGAGCATGTAGGTTGAGGTAGTGTTCCCTTAATTTCCCGAGCGATGACAACTTCTCGGTTGGAGACTTGGAAAATCCAAGTCACTGAGTGGGATCGACTATATGAATCTTAGAACGCCATTGTGTTCTGTCCTATGTCATGTCATCCGTTAGATCCAAGTACTCTAAGTCTTTTCTTAGGGTCTCTCTCAAAGTTTTCCTAGGTCTTCCTCTACCCCTTCGGCCCTGAACCTCTGTCCACAAACCAAAACCGAAAAAGTTCCTACCAATATTTATTTAGCAACATGTAATCTCATGATCTCATGTGTAAGTGAGGAACAAGGTCCAGAGCCGGACTGACCGATACGCTGATGGGGCACAACTCAAAATGACCTATTCGGATTTGAAGAAGATGACTTGGCTTTTGCAAAATCAACTAGATCCTTGAAAAGAGCATCTTCCTGTTTTACTTGTTTTGTTGGGGTAGACGAATTAAGGGAGAGATTCTGAGTCTGTCCCACTAAGTTGTCATAAGATGAACCAGATCCACTGCCTGGAACGCCTTGTTTCTCAAAAAACTGTTGTCTCTGGTTATACCTGGAAGGCGGAGGTGGAAGGCTGACAGGAGATTGACCATTGCCAGGAGACTGAGGATTCCCCAGAGACTGAGTATCCCAAGGAGCAGGAGGTAGCCCATCTATAGATTTGCTTCTAGGAGCCGGTTCATCATATACAGGCTTTCCAGTGAATATAGGTGATGGAGTTGTGTTTTGGGAAGAAGGGTGTGAAGGTGATAGTGGAGTCAATCGTGAGGTGGAGCTGGAATGAACTGGAGCGGCAAAAGATGTGGATTCTGATGTTGCAGAGGATCCTTCAGATTTGTAGGCTTCTCCACTGAGATAATCAATCACACCAGGACCTAGAGTGATTGGCCTTTGCGAAGACGGTGGAAGAGGAAGAAGTGGGCTGACTTGCACAGGTTCAGCCTTGGCATTGGCTGATCTCTGGCCCTGTCCTTGTGAATTATCTCTTGATGACCTGCAATGCATCTTACCGAATTTTACTAAGAGGATAAGAATATTAAAAGTAAAAAACTAACAGAACTTGCAATATTCATATTCTGAAGCGCACACATACAAGTAAAATTGGTAGAAACAAAAACAAGTGAGAATGAAATGACAATGCAAATAAAACTTAGAAGTGTTCCTCTAACAATCACCTGTGCGCTAGTTGGGAAAATTCATCCTCAGACACATCATCCTCATGGTTCACATTCACAAGTGGCACAACTGAAGATTCTGCTCCTCTTACTGTAGTTGTAGTTCCTTTCACAATATCGTCATGCCGAGAAATTACACGCTGCAGATCATCGTTCAGTGCCAATCCCTGACATAGAAGCTCCTCATCTCTGAGAGGAGAGCAACCACAACTGTCACTATTGCATCAAATGTATGAGTAAAACTCAAATCCATATCAAATCACTTACGCAGTCTCATTCACAAGAAGCCTGACACGCTTTTGGTATGAACGGCACTGATCAACAAGGTCAACAATCACTTCTTCCTTCAAACCCTGCCATAGTATTTCATTTTGACCATTTATGACCATTAAATTTGCACACATTAAAAGCCCGGATGGTAATATTACGATTTTGGTTCATTTTTTATTTTTAGTAAAAGCCGAAGAGGAATTGTATGGAGAAAATAGGGAGAAAGAAAGGGCTCAGATGGATGAGCATTAAAATGAATATGGAACGGTATTTAAACCACAAATTAAATCAATCTCAACTATTCTATTTTCTCCTTCAAGTTTTTATTTCACCCATTCCCCTTCAATCATCCATACCTCCTCCCTTCTACAAGCACAAGAAAAGTGCAGCCCTTAAAGGTACTAATTTGCGAGTAATTAACCACCTAATTCCAACTCTGCTAAAAGTCCCAACTTCAAAAAATTTTACAATCACAGTAATTGACACCTCTGGATAGCTAGCCTTATAAATAAAGTTTTGTTATCAATATATCTCCTCAAATAATTTACATACAGTGCATAAGTAAGGAAAAGTATGGACCATAAATATTCTCCACAATTGACCATATACAACTTTCAGAATTTTCTACTGTGGGCACATATGAAACTTTCACCGCTAGAGAACTCCACACACAAAAACAAAAAAATAGAATCATTGGCCTCTCAACAAAAAAAAAATTCTAGAAAAACATAAATAAGAAATTATCCTTTAATAATACCTTTTTGGAAAGAAATTAATCAGAAGTAAAAAAATAAGGTAGAAAATATATTACCTCAGGATTCTTAGCATCCAAGGCATTAAGCATTTCCATCAACACATCTGCAATTCCACGAGCATACTGAATCTCTGGCAAGCTGATTAAAGACAGTTCCAATCAGGATGGATCTATCATAGCTTCAATAATAATTCAGACAATTTTTACCAAAAATAAAAAAGCATCCCAAAGCATAAAAAACAGATAGCATCTGTTACAATATCATTATGTTGGAATTGTCTGTATAGGTAATTATGGGGGATTCGGGAAAGATGGAATAACTATACAACAACAACAAAGCCTTTTCCCACTAAGTGGGGTCGGCTATATGAATCCTAGAACGCCATTGCGCTTGGTTTTGTGTCATGTCCTCCGTTAGATCCAAGTACTCTAAGTCTTTTCTTAGGGTCTCTTCCAAAGTTTTCTTAGGTCTTCCTCTACCCCTTCGGCCCTGAACCTCTGTCCCGTGGTCACATCTTCGAACCGGAGCGTCAGTAGGCCTTCTTTGCACATGTCCAAACCACCGTAACCGATTTTCTCTCCTCTTTCCTTCAATTTCGGCTACTCCTACTTTACCTCGGATATCCTCATTCCTAATCTTATCCTTTCTCGTGTGCCCACACATCCAACGAAGCATCCTCATCTCCACTACACCTACGTGTTGATGCCTCACCGCCCAACATTCTATGCCATACAGCATTGCCGGCCTTATTGCCGTCCTATAAAATTTTCCCTTGAGCTTCAGTGGCCTACGACGGTCACACAACACGCCGGATGCACTCTTCCACTTCATCCATCCAGCTTGTATTCTATGGGTGAGATCTCCATCAAATTCTCCATCTTTTGCAAGATAGATCCTAGGTAGCGAAAACGGTCGCTCTTTGGTATTTCCTGATCTCCGATCCTCACCCCTAACTCATTTTGGCCTCCGTTTGCACTGAACTTGCACTCCATATATTCTGTCTTTGATCGGCTTAGGCAAGGACCTTTAGATTCCAACACTTCTCTCCAAAGGTTAAGCTTCGCATTTACCCCTTCCTACGTTTCATCTATCAACACTATATCGTTTGCGAAAAGCATACACCAAAGAATATCATCTTAAATATTAAGTTTGTGATCTTCGCTAGATTGCTCCGGTCATTAGTGTGGATAAGTATGTAAATGGATAGAGACAGGAAGCAAACACAAGATGTACGTGGTTCACCCAGATTGGCTACGTCCACGGAGTAAAGGAGTTTTCATTAATTGTGAAGGGTTTACATAGTATATAGGTTCAAGCTCTCCTTTAGTGAGTACAAGTGAATGATTTAGTACGGATGACATTAGGAAATATTGTGGAAGAATGATCTCGTAATCACGAAACTTTTAAGTACCGAAGTGTGGTATCGTCTTCACTTGCCTTATCTGTGTCATAGGTAGATGTGGCATCTTCTTTGGAAGTACTCTTCCTCCCTCCAGGGGTGGTATCTTTAACTGGTGGAGATGCACAAGGTAATGTATCAATTTCACTTGACGCTTACTTGTAGTTTCAGGCTTGGTCAAGCGCGATACAAACCATGTAGTAGGAGTCCCCCAAGTCGCCGAGCTAGGGGATCTGCTGAAAGAGGTGACAAACAAGGTAAGCAATCAGAGATCCAAGCAATCAGTCCCATATCAGAAGTTTGATTTCGAGTTCCGGCTGATTGTTATCATTCTCCTTATCTTGCAGGTAGCATGAAGGATAAAGAGAAGAAAATGAGAAAAGGTGATATGAGATATTTTTGCTTTTGAAGAAGTAACTTTCCATAGGCTTATTCTTGAACTGAGCTGGAGGGTTTTCTTGTTTCCGCCAGAGTATAAGGCCGACTGAAGAATTTGAGGGTCAAAACAAGTCCATCAAATCTAGAGTACGTTCGACCCTGCTGATATGGGATACTTTTGCCGTTGGCAAAGTAGTGGATGTATCGACACGTGTTCTGTTGCGCTTGTCTCCACATGCTTCCTTGTATCCTTCTCACTTGCCCTATTTGTTCCTCAGGCAGATGTGGTATCTTCTCGGGAAGCATAAGATGTTGAAGATGAGTACTCGAGAGCAATGGGGTTCCAGGCAGTCAGTTCCGGACTAGAAGCTTGATTCCAAGTGTTGACTGATTGCTATCTTTCTCCTTGTCTTGCAGGTATAACAAGGCCAAAGGAAAAGACGGGGAAAAAGCATGATATGGGATACTCTTGCTTTTAACCCTGATGATATGAGATATTCTTGCTCTAGTGTAGCTTGTTTGTAGAGGTATTCTCGGGGGGAAAGAAAGCTGAGTATTCCGAGAGGCTTCGTTGGGAGTGCCCTCTCAGATATGAGGAAGGGTTGAGCATTTTTGCAGGTCTGCCTGTCCGTTGAGGATGAAGGTCGACATATATAGGAGTCTCCCTAACAAGGAGTAATACTATTCTTTTACCCTGCTTGGTCATAGCACGGTAGTGGGAGCTGCCAACTTCACGTGTTTTAACTCTGTCAGAGCACTTTGAAAAAATGGTCTGTGGTATCTGGAAAGCTGATGTTACGTGTGAAGATTACAGACAAGCTTTATCCAAGGAGATCTAGCTCTCGAAGTTGAGAAAGCGATGTGAGGATTACAGACAAGCTTTATCTAAGGGGCTCTCGAAGTTGAGAAAGCAGTGGCTCTTCGGTTTTCTAACAAGCAATCCTGTCGGGGATCTGTCTCTCGAGATTCGGAGAACGGTGCCTCTTCGATTTTTGAGAAAGCAATCTTGCTAGGAGTCTGGCTCTCGAGATTCAGAGAGCGGTGTCTCGTCGCTTTTTGAGAAAGTAATCATGTTGGGAGTCTGGCTCTCGAGATTCGGAGGACGGTGTCTCTTCGATCTTGAAGCAAGCAATCTTGTTGGAGTGTTTTCTCGAATGTGAGTAAAGGTTAGGCCTGTTTGCTAGTCTACCTTGCCACGGAGCACAGAGGTTGACCCACAAGGACTTTCCAATTATCCAGCAATGGTCCTGTTCTTTTACCCTTGTGGGTAATAATATGGTAGCTAGACCTTCAAAATTTATGTGTCTAAACTTTGTTAGTGCTGTTTCTTTGCTATTCTTTTACCCTTCTTGGTCATAGCGATGTAATGGGAGCTGCAAGCTTCACGTGTCTAAACTTTGTCAGAGATTTTTGGCAAAGTTATCTGTGGTACTCGTGAGCTGATGTTGCGTGTGGAAAGTGAATGATTGAACAGTAACATTCACGTGCTTTCTACTTCACTAGAAATCTTTGACAGAATGCCCGTAATTTCTGCAAAGTTGAGTGTGCATGTGACAGGTGCTGACAAGGCTGAAAAAGCAGGTGCCTCTTCGATTTCTGAGATCGACCCTCGTGGTCTCTGAGCAGCCCAGCTTTTGAGAAAGCAAGCGCATCTTCGATTTCTGCGATCGACCTTCATGGTCTTTGAGCAGCCCAGCTTTTGAGAAAGCAAACGCCTCTTCGATTCCTGAGATCGGCCCTCGTGGTCTCTGACCAGCCCAACTTTTGAGAAAGCAAACGCCTTTTCGATTTCTGAGCAGACGCCTCTTCGATTTCTGAAGCTCCATCGAGTGCGGATTTTTATAAAGGCTGGTATTAAGTTCCAAAGCACACTTGAATCTTCACCAGTAGAAGCTCCCTTCTTGCATTTCTAAGATCTTGATTTGTCCGACCTCTTTTCTCTTCAACACCTTTGAAAATGTCTGGCCCCTCCAACCGTCGTTTTGACTTGAACCTTGTTGAAGAGGCAGCCATGCCTTCTCTAGACAACATATGGCGCCCATCCTTCTTATCTCCTACTGGTCCTCTTACCATTGGGGATTCCGTGATGAAGAATGATATGACCGCTGCGGTGGTGGCCAGGAACCTTCTCACTCCCAAAGATAACAGACTACTTTCTAAACGGTCTGATGAGTTGGCTGTTAAGGATTCTCTGGCTCTCAGTGTTCAGTGTGCAGGTTCTGTGTCTAATATGGCCCAACGCCTATTTGCTCGAACCCGCCAAGTTGAATCATTGGCGGCTGAAGTGATGAGTCTCAAACAGGAGATTAGAGGGCTCAAGCATGAGAATAAACAGTTGCACCGACTCGCTCATGACTATGCTACAAACATGAAGAAGAAGCTTGACCAGATGAAGGAATCTGATGGTCAGATTTTACATGATCATCAGAGGTTTGTGGGTTTGTTCCAAAGGCATTTATTGCCTTTGTCTTCTGGGGCTGTACCGCGTAATGAAGCTCCAAATGATCAACCTCCGATGCCTCCTCCTTCTAGGGTGCTGTCCAGTACTGAGGCTTCGAATGATCCCCCTCCGGTGCCTTCTCTTTCTGGGGCTCTGCCGACTGCTTAGACTTCTCCTAAGCAACTTTTGTGAAGGCTCCCTCTTGTTTGTTTATTTTGATTCGTGTATATGTACAAAGAAGATAAATGATTTGAAGTCTATTGTTCAATTTCTTATTAGCACAAAATTCAATCAAGCAAGGATGAATTCTTTCATAAATTACAGTTACGGATCATGACATTCAACAAGCAGTAGCTGAAATAATTGTACAAGCATAAAAAATATATGCCGATTGACATCTCTTACTAAAGATTAAGACCCTAGGACTGACGGGACTTATAATAGTAAGGATGTAAGAGACATCCTCATGTCAAGGGGAGAATTGATGAATACTTGACAAGGTTAAGGCCTTTCAGATATATAGTCAAATTTTTCTGCAGTATTAAAGCATGCACAACACATTCAAATTTGATAATGAGAAAGGTATAAAATTTTTTTTTTTTTGAAGAAGTTGAAGAAATAAAAAATGAAAGAGAAACAATCGAATCGCCAATTTATGCAGTACAACATATGTAGAACATGTCATACTGAGGGTTTTAATCCTGGGACATTTTCCAATTGCCTACAAATATTTTTAACCTCTCTCATGCAATCAACACGCAAGTTTATAGTTGTGACAAACATGCATGTGAAGGAAACAATAATTGTTTGAACAGGGAATAAATACCATACTCAAAAGGCCCAAAAATGTATGTTTCCAAGAAAACCATATTCTCAGCTAGTACCTAAGGCCCGATGCATCCGACTGGAGAGAAGCCTGAATGGCAGCATCATCATATGATGTAACAGGAGAAACTACTGGCTGGGTCTGGGGCGGAGTAAATATTGGTACACTGTTCTCTTCTCTTGGTGGAAATTCAACTCCTGCAGACTGTCGGTTATTCATTAAGAGAGTTAGGGTGGAAGAAGAAACAGAATAAAGAGAAAATAATTAAAATCCACAGTTATACTAAATATTGAATAGCAAGCTTTCCCATAACTGTAGGATTACATCAAGGCTCATCCTTAAGTCCTTACCTTTTTGCGTTGGTAATGGATGAGTTAACAGGACATATTCAAGATGATATTCCTTGGTGTATGCTTTTCGCAGACGATATAGTGTTGATAGACGAAACTCAGGAAGGGGTAAATGCAAAGCTTAACCTTTGGAAAGAAGTGTTGGAATATAAAGGTCTTCGCCTAAGCCGATCAAAGACAGAATATATGGAGTGCAAGTTCAGTGCAAATGGAGGCCAAAACGAGTTAGGGGTGAGGATCGGAGATCAAGAAATACCAAAGAGCGACCGTTTTCGTTACCTAGGATCTATCTTGCAAAAGAACGGAGATTAGATGGAGATCTCAACCATAGAATACAAGCTGGATGGATGAAGTGGAAGAGTGCATCCGGCGTGTTGTGTGACCGCCGTATGCCACTGAAGCTCAAGGGAAAATTTTATAGGACGGCAATAAGGTCGGCGATGCTGTATGGCACAGAATGTTGGGCGGTGAAACATCAACACGTACACAAAATGGGTGTAGCGGAGATGAGGATGCTTCGTTGGATGTGTGGGCACACGAGAAAGGATAAGATTAGGAATGAGGATATCCGGGGTAAAGTAGGAGTAGCCGAAATTGAAGGAAAGATGAGAGAAAATCGGTTACGGTGGTTTGGACATGTGCAAAGAAGGCCTACTGACGCTCCGATTAGAAGATGCGACTATGGGACAGAGGTTCAGGGCCGAAGGGGTAGAGGAAGACCTAGGAAAACTTTGGAAGAGACTCTAAGAAAAGACTTAGAGTACTTGGATCTAACGAAGGACATGACACAGGATCGAGCACAATGGCGTTCTAAGATTCATATAGCCGATCCCACTCAGTGACTTGGATTTTCCAAGTCTCCAACCGAGAAGTTTTCCTCACTCGGAAAATTAAGGGAACACTACCCCAACCTACCTACATGCTCCACTCAGAAAGCTTCAACATACAAGCTTCAACAAAAGAAAATTCAAAGAACTTAGCGAAGAAGGCTTTGGTGTATTTAACACAATACGTTGAAATGAAGGAAAACTTATTTATTGATATCCCCGATAAGCTACAAATATGTACATATACATGAGTCAAAATAAACACACAAGAGGGAGCCTTCACAAAGGTTGCTTAGGAGAAGTCTCAGCAGTCGGTAGAGCCCCAGAAAGAGAAGGCACCGGAGGGGGATCATTTGGAGCCTCAGTACTGGACAGAACCCTAGAAGGAGGAGGCATCAGAGGTTGATCATTTGGAGCTTCATTACGCGGTACAGCCCCAGAAGACGAAGGCAATAAATGCCTTTGGAACAAACCCACAAATCTCTGATGATCAAGTAAAACCTGACCATCAGTTTCCTTCATCTGGTCAAGCTTCCTCTTCATGTTTGTAGCATAGTCATGTGCGAGCCGGTGCAACTGTTTATTCTCATGCTTGAGCCCTCTAATCTCCTGTTTGAGACTCATCACTTCAGCCGCCAATGATTCAACTTGGCGGGTTCGAGCAAATAGGCGTTGGGCCATATTAGACACAGAACCTGCACACTGAACACTGAGAGCCAGCGAATCCTTAACAGCTAACTCATCAGACCGTTTGGAAAGTAGTCTGTTATCTTTGGGAGTGAGAAGGTTCCTGGCCACCACCGCAGCGGTCATATCATTCTTCATCACGGAATCCCCAACGGTAAGAGGACCAGTAGGGGAGACGAAGGATGGGCGCCATATGTTGTCTGGAGAAGGCGGGGCTGCCTCTTCAACAAGGTTCAAGTCAAAACGACGGTCGGAGGGGCCAGACATTTTCAAAGGTGTTGAAGAGAGAAGAGGTCGGACAAATCAAGATCTTAGAAGTGCAAGAATGAAGCTTCTACTGGTGGAGATTCAAGTGTGCTTTGGAACTTAATGCCAGCCCCTATAAAAATCTGCACTCGACGGAGCTTCAGAAATCGAAGAGGCGCCTGCTCAGAAATCGAAGAGGCGTTTGCTTTCTCAAAAGCTGGGCTGCTTAGAGATCACGAGGGTTGATCTCAGAAATCGAAGAGGCGTTTGCTTTCTCAAAAGTTGGGCTGCTCAAAGACCACGAAGGCCGATCTCAGAAATCGAAGAGGCGCTCGCTTTCTCAAAAGCTGGGCTCCCCAGAGACCACGAGGGCCGATCTCAGAAATCGAAGAGGCACCTACTTTTCCAGCCTTGTCAGCACCTGTCACACGCACACTCAGCTTTGCGGAAATTATGGGCATTCTGTCGAAGACTTCTGAGGGAAGTAGAAAACACACATGAATCTTACTGTTCAATCATCCCACTTCCCACACGCAACAATAGCTCATGGGTACCACAGAAAAACTTTGCCAAAGTTCTCTGCCAAAGTTGAGCACGTGAAGCTTGCAGCTCCCACTACATCGCTCTGACCAAGAAAGGGTAAAAGAATAGCAAAGAAACAGCACTAACAAAGTTTAGACCCATAAATTTTGAAGGTCTAGCTACCATATTATTACCCACAAGGGTAAAGGAACAGTACCACTGCTGGATAATTGGAAAGTCCCTGTGTGTCAACCTCTGTGCTTCGTGGCAAGGTAGACTAGCAAACATGCCCAACCTTTACTCACATTCGAGAAAACACTCCCAATAAGATTGCTTGCTCCAAAATCGAAGAGGCACCGTCCTCCGAATCTCGAGAGCCAGACTCCCAACATGAATACTTTCAAAAAAATCGAAGAGAGGGTAAAGGAACAGTACCATTGCTGGATAATTGGAAAGTCCCTGTGTGTCAACCTCTGTGCTTCGTGGCAAGGTAGACTAGCAAACATGCCCAACCTTTACTCACATTCGAGAAAACACTCCCAACAAAGATTGCTTGCTCCAAAATCGAAGAGGCACCGCCCTCCGAATCTCGAGAGCCAGACTCCCAACATGATTACTTTCTCAAAAATCGAAGAGACACTGCTCCCCGAATCTTCGAGAGCCAGACCCCCAGCATGATTGCTTTCTCAAAAATCGATGAGGCATCGTTCTCCGAATCAATCGAAGAGGCGCTCGCTTTCTCAAAAGCTGGGCTGCTCAGAGACCACGAGGGCCGATCTCAGAGAAATCGAAGAGGCACCTACTTTTCTAGCCTTGTCAGCACCTGTCACACACGCACACTCAGCTTTGCAGAAATTATGGGCATTCTGTCGAAGACTTCTGGTGAAGTAGAAAGCACATGAATCTTACTGTTCAATCACCCACTTCCCACACGCAACAATAGCTCATGGGTACCACAGATAACTTTGCCAAAGTTCTCTGCCAAAGTTGAGCACGTGAAGCTTGCAGCTCCCACTACATCGCTCTGACCAAGAAAGGTAAAAGAATAGCAAAGAAACAGCACTAACAAAGTTTAGACACATAAATTTTGAAGGTCTAGCTACCATATTATTATTACCCACAAGGGTAAAGGAACAGTACCACTGCTGGATAATTGGAAAGTCCCCTGTGTGTCAACCTCTGTGCTTCGTGGCAAGGTAGACTAGCAAACATGCCCAACCTTTACTCACATTCGAGAAAACACTCCCAACAAGATTGCTTGCTCCAAAATCGAAGAGGCACCGTCCTCCGAATCTCGAGAGCCAGACTCCCAACATGACTACTTTCTCAAAATCGAAGAGAGGGTAAAGGAACAGTACCATTGCTGGATAATTGGAAAGTCCCTGTGTGTCAACCTTTGTGCTTCGTGGCAAGGTAGACTAGCAAACATGCCCAACCTTTACTCACATTCGAGACAACACTCCCAACAAGATTGCTTGCTCCAAAATCGAAGAGGCACCGCCCTCCGAATCTCGAGAGCCAGACTCCCAACATGATTACTTCCTCAAAAATCGAAGAGACACTGCTCTCCGAATCTCGAGAGCCAGACCCCCAGCATGATTGCTTTCTCAAAAATCGAAGAGGCATCGTTCTCCGAATCTCGAGAGCCAGATACCACAGACCACTTTTTCAAAGTGCTCTGACAGAGTTAAAACATGTGAAACTGGCAGCTCCCACTACCGTGCTATGACCAAGCAGGGTAAAGGAATAGCATTACTACTTGTTGTTAGGGAGACTCCTATATATGTCGACCTCCATCCCCAACGGACAGGCAGACCTGCAAAAATGCTCAACCCTTCATCATATCTGAGAGGGCACTCCCAACGAAGCCTTTCGAAATATTCAGCTTTCTTTCCCCCCGATAATACCTCTGCAAACAAGCTATACTAGAGCAAGAATATCTCATATCATCAGGGTTAAAAGCAAGAGTATCCCATATCATGCTTTTTCCCTGTCTTTTCCTTTTGGCCTTGTTTTTACCTGCAAGACAAGGAGAAAGAGAGCAATCAGTCAGCACTTGGAATCAAGCTTCCAGCCAGGAACTGACTGCCTGGAACCCCTTACCTGATTACTTACCTGGCATTGCTCTCGAGTACTCATCTTCAACATCTTATGTTTCCAGGGAAGATTCCGCATCTGCTTGAGGAACAGATAGGGCAAGTGCGAAGGATACAAGGAAGCATGTGGAGACAAGCGTAACAGCACACGTGCCGATACATCCATTACTCTGTCAAAAGCAAAAGTATCCCATATCAGCAGGGTGGAACGTACTCTAGATTTGATGGACTTGTTTTGACCCTCAAATTCTTCAGTCGGCCTTATACTCTGGAGGAAACCAGAAAACCCTCCAGCTCAGTTCAAGAATAAGCCTGTGGAAAGTTACTTCTTCAAAAGCAAAAGTATCTCATATCATCTCTTCTCATTTTTTCTTCTCTTTTATCCTTCATGCTGTTGCAAGATGGGGAGAAGGTGAACAATCAGTCGGAGCTCTGATTGCTTACCTTGTCTGTCACCTCTTTCAGCAGACCCCCTAGCTCGGCGACTTGGGGGACTCCTACTACATGGTTTGTATCGCGCTTGACCAAGCCTGAAACTACAAGTAAGCTTCAAGTGAAATTGATACATTACCTTGTGCATCTCCACCAGTTAAAGATACCACCCCTGGATGGAGGAAGAGTACTTCCAGAGAATATGCCACATCTACCTATGAGACAGATAAGGCAAGTCAAGACGACACCACACTCCGATACTTAGAAGTTTCGTGATTACGAGATCATTCTCCCACAATATTTCCTAATGTCATTTGTACTAAATCATTCACTTGTACTCACTAAAGGAGAGCTTAAACCTATGTACTTGTGTAAACCCTTCACAATTAATGAGAACTCATCTATTCCGTGGACGTAGCCAATCTGGGTGAACCATGTACATCTTGTGTTTGCTTTCCTATCTCTATCCATTTATATACTTATCCACACTAATTACCGGAGCAATCTAGCGAAGATCACAAAAAGCGACCGTTTTCGCTACCTAGGATCTATCTTGCAAGAGAATGGAGAATTAGATGGAGATCTCAACCATAGAATACGAGCTGGATGGATGAAGTGTAAGAATGCATCCGGCGTGTTGTGTGACCGTCGTAGGCCACTGAAGCTCAAGGGAAAATTTTATAGGACGGCAATAAGGCCAGCGATGTTGTATGACACAGAATGTTGGGCGGTGAAGCATCAACACGTACACAAAATGGGTGTAGCGGAGATGAGGATGCTTCGTGGGATGTGTGGGCACACGAGAAATGATAAGATTGGGAATGAGGATATCCGAGGTAAAGTAGGAGTAGCCGAAATTGTAGGAAAGATGAGAGAAAATCGGCTCCGGTGATTTGGACATGTGCAAAGAAGGCCGAATGACGCTCTGGTTCGAAGATGTGACTACGGGACAGAGGTTCAGGGCCGAAGGGGTAGAGGAAGACCTAGGAAAACTTTGGAAGAGACTATAAGAAAAGACTTAAGAGTACTTGGATCTAACGGAGGACATGACACAAAACCGAGCGCAATGGCGTTCTAGGATTCATATAGCCGACCCCACTTAGTGGGAAAAGGCTTTGTTGTTGTTGTTGTTGTAAGCTTATAAGTATTGCTGGCCAAAATGATGGAAATGTTATTTTGGACCTATTAAACATCATCAAAAGGTAGAAAGGTAAATGCGTTGAAATCTAATTGTGTGAAAGCTGAGGCGTAGTTGCCTCTTTTGTCAGACAAGGCAAGGCATAAGCCTCTCGGACATGAAATCTTATAGGAAGCAAATAAATAATGCAATACTAATAAGTTGAAGTGCTAGTGAGTAACTGAAGTATAATAAGAAATCCCAATATGACCACATATAAGTTATAACAGTCATTCAAGCATAACAACCAATCACAAAAATAAAATACTCAATTGGTCATACAAATATTCAAAACCCCAAAAGATAAACTCAGTTCACCACAATACTTGTGATGAATAGAAACTAACATCACTATCATACTGGTCCAACAGACTGATGTGATAAGGGACGCATAGCAGTGACTTGCACTAGAGGAGAGTTTGCAAGATCACTATTACTTCCATTGTTCACAACATTTACTATCATCTGTCAAAGCTGAAGGCACTTGGGCTGAACATGTTTACCCATTAATCTTAACTTAACTAGGTCATATAATTAAACAGAAATGTTTAAAAACATGGCCTATTAAGCAACTCAAAAGAAAGATGACAGCAAAGAATGTCACTGATTGGACCGGGTCAGACTGGTGATATCATAAATATATAACAACATGATTCTATTCTCTATATACTATATCCATTCTTCGACAAATGAAAGAAATATCCTATAAGGCAGTTTTAAAAGGAAATACTTTTTAGAAGACGGTCTACTTTGATTAGTAAATTGAAAATTAGTAAGATAGTTCCATGGGAACACAGCACAAGTACAAATGCAGTGTACATAGTACAGATTACAAACAAAAGCTTAACATGAGTATAACAAAGATGTGATAAAACAATTACCCTCAATTCATTATATGCTGCATAATACTGGGGAAATCTTCCCCTTGGTCCCCCAAAAGCTTCTTGCCATGTATCTATCAAAATAGTATCTTTTCCCTAACATTCAAGTCTGGCTGCATAATGGAATTAGAATAACAAAGCAGAAAGAAAGTTAGTATCCTATTCATGCACAAACTGGAAAGAAAAAAGGAAGCAACAAGTTAGTGAAAACAGAAAACAAAAGGTTGGGAGAGAAATGCAGCACCTTCTTCTTTACTATTTTGACCATTTCATGCAAGATATCACGCTCAACGATCTGCTGAAAAACATTCTCACCACAGTTCTTGCTCACAGTCTCCAATGCCTGCATCGAATAATAAATTAGGAGAAGGAAAAAGACACCATTGCTCAGAAATGGCTTGTTTTGTGCTGATGATAGGCTAATGCAAGGCAATCATTGAACCACAACAGGTCCATCATAAATCACAAATTTATTGACATTTTCACATGTATACATATTTTGGGATGGGAAGGGTACCACAAGCTTTACATCATGAATTTAAAATTTTAAAAGAAAGATGCAAAAACATGACAAGAAATAACACAAAAAATACTGAAAGTCTCACAAAGAAAAGGAATAGTACTAACAAAAAGAGCCAGGAGTTGTATTTTTGGATTTTTGCTGCCCAGGCGCTTCGTATCTTCAAGGCCTCTTTTGCTTGCCTGAAAGTTCAAACCAGTTCATTGGCAAAACAAAGCATTCCGAATATTTAAATTAGGAAAGAGATTCTATGGGAAAAATAATCCACAACAATAGAAAATAAAGAGGATAGTCTTCTGCAGAGTTTAAGAGCTAAGAAATGTCCAACATATAAAAGAAAGCCCGATACACCAAGATGCTCATGGAATCTATTTGAAAAATAAATTACTCCTTCTACGAAGTTTCCAGTTCATCCCAAATCAATGTAGCGAAAGCATTCTACTACCCTGTCAATTTTTTAAAGTGTTACTTTTCAGGAGGACATGATTTCCTTATGAGATGAGCCACATCTCCCTTTCAGGAGGAGATCTCCTCTTCTACCAGGAGCCAAGTATTAAACTTCGTGTGTATGTGCGTGCACATGTATATATGAATACATAATAAGCTCTGAGCACTTTAAAGTTTCAACCAACGACTACGATATCAATATTTCAGAAAAGATTCAACGTACTCAACAATTTAAGAAATGCGAACTCTAAACGGGTGGATATACCTATATATAATATTCAATCTAAAAAATGAAATTGAGGGAAAACAAAGTAATCATACCCAGGGTCAATATTGATAATATCACATAATTTGCCCAGTCTGGGCCAATCAACATATCACTTGTTGCCCTCTCTGCACAGGCCGCACCATTACCAGCCATGTCGTAATCCCCTTCACGCAAGTCTTTTTCCTTAAAACTTCCTAAATCAGAAGCCAAAAACAAGTTCAACTACGCGCAATTCAACATTTGTGATGTAAAAGAACTTAATAAATGCTAGAAACGGAAGATCATAAGACACCTGTATCACTAATTAGCTCGATGTCAGTAATCTTGTTCAATTCCAAAAGTTCCACAAATTATTTCTTACCCACCAAGACAAAACCTATGAAAATCCCAATTTAATTACGATAATTGAAAACAGCGGAACTATACAAAATTGATCCAGAAAATATTAAAAACCCGAAATCGCAAACAAATAGGGTCTATAAACAAATTCAACTATCTGCTCATCCCCATCACAAATACGTATCCCAAATCAAAATAACAAACAATCAGATCGTCAACAATGTACGCTTAACACCAATACAAGTCCCACATCAAGAAACCCACAAAAATTTGTGCCCATAAAACACAGACAAGCAAACCCAATTGGATATTAGTACTAAAATTGAAAATCAAAATTCGAATTAGCAAGATAATGGTCCTGTGCTTAAAGTTAAACCCAGTTGACAAAACGATCAGAGAATAAGGGAAAGGAATGAGAGATTTATGCGACCAAACCATTGCTGAATGTTTACTTGCTTGATGCTGCGTGGTTAGGCTTAGTCGACCTCACTCCATCTTCATTGCTTTGCTACTTGAAATGAGGGATTCCAAACATATTGGCGAAGCCGGCCAATGTACCCTTCAATCTGTTGGAAATTCAAATTAAAAGTCATGTGATGTCTAACTATCTGTCCATGTGATGCTAGCTTTTCTTTCCATGTTGTATCCCGCAAATATAAACATCATTACTCCTCCATCTGTTAACCGAAAGCTGATTTAAAGACAGCATAGATGTGGGCTGCTGTGTGCTAGCCGAAAGGTTGTGTTTGCAAGCTGGAAGGATGCAATGCATGTGTGTGCCAACTATCCAAAGTTGCTGCATGTGTTTGAAAGGGTGGAAGGATGGTAAACACCATCATTCATTACATGTTGTTGTATTGTTTATCAATTTCTGTTTTGTATAAATAGGCCTTCTTGCTAGGCTTTAGAACATCAATTCCATTCCAATTCCTTTCTCATTTTCAGCTTGTAAGCTATTGGTTTTGTAAACTCTCTTTTCATATATCAAAGTCCAAGTGTTTTGCCGAAGCTTGTCCCTCCTTTCTCTATTTCTTTGTCCAATTTTATTGAGAGTGCAAAGTGAGAGGTGTGATAGAGTTTGTAAACTTATCATCCACATATTTTGGTATTGAGTTAGTAAACTTTTCAATACCAACAATTGGTATCAGAGCCAGAATACCATTCTGGCAAGTGCAGCAGTTATGGCATCCAACTTAGTGCAGCTCCAAGTTCCCACATTGAAGAAAGAAAATTATGAAAGATGGTGCATCCAATTCAAAGCATTGTTTGGATCACAAGAGCTATGGGAAGTTGTCAGTAGTGGGTATGTTGTACCCACTACCGAGCAAGAAGCCACATATACTGCAGATCAAAGGAACACTCTCAAGGATTTACGAAAGAAGGACCAGAAGGCGTTGTATCTTCTCTATCAAGGATTAGAAGATTCAACGTTCGAGAAGGTTGCAGAAGTAACAACGAGCAAGCAAGTATGGGACACACTCAATACAATCTACAAAGGAGTAGATCGAGTCAAGAAAGTGAGGTTACAGTCACTTCGAGTAGATTTTGAAACTGCTCACACGAATGAAGGGGAGAGCATCTCCGACTATCACTCAAGGCTCATTGTGATGGTAAATCAGATGAGGAGAAATGGCGAGAGACTCGATGAAGTACGAGTTGTGGAGAAGATACTCCGGTCACTTACATCTAAGTTTGAGCAAGTGGTGACTGCCATTGAGGAATCTAAGGATTTGGAGGCGATGAGCGCAGATGAGCTACTAGGATCCCTCCTAGTTCACGAGCAACGCATTCAGAAGAATGCAAGCCCCACAACACTAGAGCAAGCTTTGGAGTCAAAATTGAAAATTGACAAACCAAATAAAGGTCGTGGGCAGTGGAACTCACGTCGTGGGAGTTCATCCAACCGTAGCCGAGGACGAGCCCGAGGAAGAGGTCGAGGCTATGAACAAAACCGAGGTCAATCTCAAGAGTGGAGATATACCCAAGGAAAGGCGTATATCCAATGTCACACTTGCAAGCAATATGGACATTATGCAAATGAATGTTCATATAAAAATGGTGAGCATGTCAACATGGCAGAATCAAATGGAAATGCTGGTGAGGAATTTACAGTCTTACTAGCACACCATGATATCAGTAGCCAACAAGATGTTTGGTATTTAGACTCTGGTGCAAGCAACCACATGTGTGGAAAGAAAGAGTTTTTTGCAGAACTCAAAGATGGGCCTTATGGATCTGTGAGTCTTGGTGACTCTTCAAGGTTACCAGTTGAAGGCAAAGGAAAGATCAAAATCATCCAGAAGGATGGTAAAGAAGAATACATCTTCGATACCTACTACATACCAGGTATGAAGAGTAACATTCTGAGCATTGGTCAACTGCTCCAGAAAAGGGTATGTTATACATATGGAGGATATGTTTCTCACTCTCAGGAATGCAAGGAGAAAGCTTATTACATGTGTTCAAATGTAAAAAAACCGAATGTTCCCGTTGAAGTTGAACACAAAGATTGGGAGTTGCAACATCGATGTAATGGAAGATGAGTCATGGAAATGGCATCTTCGATTTGGCCATCTTCATTTCAATGGCCTAAAGTTGTTGTCAAGTGGAGGAATGGTTCGTGGTCTACCCCAGATTGAAGCCACATACAAAGTATGTGAAGGTTGTGTGCTTGGCAAGCAAGCACGACTATCATTCCCTGTTGGTGATACATGGAGAGCAAAGGCACCACTGCAGATGGTACACACGGATATATGTGGTCCATTGGATCCTATGTCTTATGGAGGTAATAGGTATTTTATTACTTTCATTGATGATTTTAATAGGAAGACTTGGGTTTATTTTCTCAAGGAGAAATCGGCTGCCCTAAGAATCTTCAAGGAGTTCAAGGCACTCACAGAGGCTGAAAGCAACCACAAGCTTGTGGCTGTGAGATCAGATAGAGGTGGAGAGTACACCTCTAATGCTTTCCAAGCATACTGCAAGGAGCAAGGAATTAGGCATCAACTGACTGATGCCTATACCCCACAGCAAAATGGGATAGCCGAAAGAAAGAATCGAACCATCCTTGACATGACAAGGTCCATGCTTAAGGAGAAGAATTTACCAAAAGAATTGTGGGCAGAAGTTGTAGCTTGTTCGATTTATTTGTTGAATCGATGTCCAACAAAGAGTGTCAAAAGGATGACACCACAAGAGGCTTGGAGTGGATACAAGCCGAGTGTTGCACACCTAAGAGTTTTTGGTGTGTTGCATATGCTCAAGTTCCAGAAGCCAAGAGGAGAAAGCTCGATGATCGAGGTGAGAAGTGTGTGTTTGTGGGCTATAGTGAAGAGTCCAATGCATACAAGCTCTACAAGCCACTAACTGGCAAACTAGTGGTTAGTAGAGATGTCATCTTCAGTGAGGAAGAGGCATGGAAGTGGAACAACAAAGAAGTCAGTAAAGAGAAGATCGTCTCCACTGATTTTGAAGAACCAGAAGTTGTACCACCTGTTGAGCAATAGCTTGCTTAAACAATCACAACAACTCCAGTGCACAGAATTGCAAGGAGTGGTCCTACATCTAGTGAAGAAAGCAGCTCCTCAACTCCAGTGAGGCTAAGAAGTCTTACCGAGATATATGGACAAGAAGAAGAAGAAGAAACCAACCTTTTCTGCTTGTATGCAGACCACGAGCCTCTCTTATTCAATGAAGCTGTGGAAGAAGATCGTTGGAGAATAGCCATGGAGGAAGAAATCCATGCCATCGAGAAGAATGACACTTGGGAGTTGACAAAGCTCCCACCAAATCAGAAGGCTATTGGTATCAAGTGGGTGTACAAGATCAAACGCACTGCAGATGGGAGTGTGGATCGATACAAATCAAGGCTTGTAGCAAAAGGCTACAAAAAAAAGTACGGAGTGGACTATGATGAAGTCTATGCTCCAGTTGCAAGACTTGACAAGGTAAGATTGCTAATCTCTCTTGCCGCTCATCATAAATGGAAAATTTATCAACTAGATGTCAAGTCAGCCTTCCTTAATAGAGTTCTTGAGGAAGAAGTGTACGTGGAACAACCAGAAGGCTTTCAAGTACAAGGAAAAGAAGATAAGGTGTATCGTTTGAAGAAGGCGTTGTATGGCCTCAAGCAAGCACCACGAGCTTGGAACTCAAGGATTGACAACTACCTTCACCAAAATGGATTTCAGAAATGTCCATACGAGCATTCAGTTTACATGAAGAATGGTGCAAAAGGGGAGTTCTTAATTATTTGTCTCTATGTAGATGACTTGTTGTTTACAGGAAACAATGAAGCAATATTTTGTGAGTTCAAGCAATCCATATTCAGTGAATTCGAGATGACTGACAATGGATTAATGTCATACTTTCTTGGCATAGAGGTGAAGCAAGAAAGTGACGGTATCTACATCTCTCAACAAAAGTACATGAGAGATATATTGGAGAAATTCAATATGGATAAGTGCAATATTGTCAACACTCCAGTTGCAACTGGATTGAAGCTGTCTAAGGAAGGAGAATGTGAGTTTGTAAACTCAACCGTGTACAAAAGCTTGGTTGGAAGCCTAAGGTACCTTACAATCACAAGACCTGATATAGTTTATGGTGTTGGACTCGTGAGTCGATACATGGAAACACCAAGGGAGTCTCATTGGCTGGCTGCCAAGAGAATTTTGAGGTACATAAGAGGTACTCTAAACTATGGTTTATTTTATAATTTTGGTGAAGATGCAAAATTATTTGGTTATTCAGATAGTGATTGGGGAAGTGACAAAGATGAAAGGAAAAGCACAACTGGCTATGTGTTTTTTCTAGGATCAACAACTTTCTCATGGACTTCAAAGAAGCAATCAATTGTTGCTTTGTCATCATGTGAAGCTGAGTATGTTGATGTAGCCTCAACAGTGTGTGAGGCAATTTGGTTAAGAAATCTATTGAAGTCAGTGTGTCATCCACAAGTGGAATCGACTGTGATTCATGTGGATAACATGTCTGCAATCAAGCTTGCAAAGAATCCTGTTCAACATGGAAGGAGCAAACACATTGATACCAGGTTCCATTTTCTAAGGGACCATGTGAAGCAAAAGACAATTGAGCTTGTCTATTGTCACACGAAGGAACAAGTGGCAGACATCTTCACTAAGCCACTACCAGTTGAATCATTCCGACTACTACGTGAAATGCTAGGCATGAAGGCGTTTTAATTTGAGGGGGCATGTTGGAAATTCAAATTAAAAGCCATGTGATGTCTAATAACTGTCCATGTGATGCTAGCTTTTCTTTCCATGTTGTATCCAACAAATATAAACATCATTGCTCCTCCATCTGTTAACCGAAAGCTGATTTAAAGACACCAGAGATGTGGGCTGCTGTGTGCTAGCCGAAAGGTTGTGTTTGCAAGCTAGAAGGATGCAATGCATGTGTGTGCCAACTATCCAAAGTTGCTGCATGTGTTTGAAAGGGTGGAAAGATGGTAAACACCATCATTCATTACATGTTGTTGTATTGTTTATCAATTTCTGTTTTGTATAAATAGGCCTTCTTGCTAGGCTTTAGAACATCAATTCCATTCCAATTCCCTTCTCATTTTCAGCTTGTAAGCTATTGGTTTTGTAAACTCTCTTTTCATATATCAAAGTCCAAGTGTTTTGCCGAAGCCTGTCCCTCCTTTCTCTATTTCTTTGTCCAATTTTATTGAGAGTGCAAAGTGAGAGGTGTGATAGAGTTTGTAAACTTATCACCTACATGTTTTGGTATTGAGTTAGTAAACTTTTCAATACCAACACAATCTACCACATCGCTAATGGATTGGGTCGCTATTTTATCCAACTCTTCCACATCGCCCTCGTACACCAAACGAGTGCCGCAACTCTTCACCAAGCAGGGGCCTGAGCTTTTGAAATGAAAAATTAACTGACTGAAACTGTTTTGCCACTCTGTACCAAAGCTTATACCACGAGACACATAGATCAGCCAAATATGATCTGACACGGGCTGGACATCCAAAGATAGGAGAGGCGCAGGGTACTCTTCCTTTCCATTGACTTCCAAAACACCAGAGAGCTCCCATCCGCTCCCATAAACTTCAAATACAGCGCACAGAGCATATCCCATCCACTTGTTATCACGCCATTGCCGAGTTAGGTCAACGCTTACTTCTGATCCCATACTTTGACGAGTGAACCACCTAGGAATTTCCTTTCCAGGCATGACAATTTCACATCTATCTCCTGCATAAGGGACTCCCTGTACAGGTGAAACAGTGATGTTAAGCAATGAGAGAGAGAGAGAGAGAGAGAGAGAGAGAGAGAGAGAGAGAGAGAGCGAGAGAGCACCTTAAGATATCTTTGGAGCATAGTAAATGTAATATGATTGTAGCTTTCTTTCTCAAGCATTCCAAAGCAATTGATGAGATTGAAGCATGACGAATTCAATCTGTCCAAATTTGAGGGACATTCCAGCATTTCCAGTTTAGTACAATCATCTGCAGTTACTTGTAGTAAACCTACATCTGATGAAAGAACTGGAAGGTGTTGAAGCTTCCTGCAACGACTCAAGCATAAATTCTCAAGTTTAGAGAGTTGGCTAATGCTTGTAGGAAGATTAACAAAATTGTTTCCACTTAAGTTCAATGATACCAAAGATGATAAGCAGCCAATATCATTGGGGATTGCTCCTTCACAAAGATTGTGACCACTTAAGTCTAATTCCATTAAAGAACAAAGGCCTGATAGAGGAGGCAAGAACAAACTGATGGGATGATGACGGCTCCCTGGCATTAATCTTAAAAGGAGCGAGATAAGCCATGGTCGTTGTGATGGCCCTTCCATTCCATGAAAAATCAATGCTTTAAGGTTTTTCAGAAGGGCAATGGAAGATGGACATTCCTTTATAGCAGTTCCACTTAAATTAATCTTCTCCACAAACTCTAATTTCCCGAGGCTTTCTGGCAATTTGGCAAGATTTGAGCATCCAGAATCATCAAGAATTTTAATAGCCCTCAAATTTCCAATGGCACTAGGAAGACATTTCAGATTTTTGCAATCTCTCAAGTCCAACAAAGAAAGGCTGGTTAGATGTTCAAGTGGTGAAGGTATACATTCAATACCAGTCCCATCTAAAGAAAGCTTCCGTAAATGCTCCATAGGTTCCACAAAATTTGGAATCTTTTTAACGCTTGAGCAGCCAGAAAGAACAAGAACTTCTAGGTGCTCCATCTCAATCTCATCCGGAAGAAGCTTGAGACTTTTGCAATATTTAAGAGTCAAGAAAGTAAGCTTTTTGAGAGTTCCTATGGAAGAGTGAATCTCATCTAAACTTTCGCATCCTTCAAAGTCTAATCTCTCAAGATTCTGAATCCCTTCAAAATCAGGGGTTCTAGTCAAACTTTTGGAATGACTAACTTTAATGATTTTCAACTTGTCAAAATTCTGTAATGTTTACAAGAAATGTAGAATAATTAGATCCAGAAAACTCAAATAAGGTAATGAAATATATACTTTAACAAATAAGGTAAATAATATTGTAGATGTAAGTGCTTACCTTTTTTCCGTTCCAGAGCTGTTCAATTCTACTATGACACATGATCAGTTCAACAAGCTCATCCGGGTCGAATCCTGATGGGAGATATTGTAGAGGATAACCTCTCCATTCAAGAAATCTCAAGGAATTAGGGAGACGGTTGAGGCCTTCAGGAAGGCGCATGTTGTGGACTTTGAGCAATCTAAGATTAACCATCTGAGAAAAAGCTTCAGGAGGGCATTCCACCTCTTTTGTTTCCAGCAAGTCTAGGACAATGCCTTCAACTGTTGGTGTCCCCTGATAACCAAGAATAAAAAAACAAGTGAATTGCAGTATAATATGCACATTATAAAAGTAAAGGAAGATGAGTAAAACAAACTGTTTTTTTTTTTTTTACGTGCCTCTTAATCGTTAGATTAATTTACATTTGACGTATTAGGTAAGCTCTTACCGTTTTTTCCTTCAAAACATGAAAGATGTCCTTACAATTGTTTGACCCTTTTTTTGTAACAAATCATGCATCCGCACCCTGTTATCTGAAATTGTTGTCAGAGACTTCTCCATAAGGACATCTATGTCAATACCTGGATTAAAACCACAACTATCAAGTATTTCAAATACTCGATCTTTGTCCTCCCCTTTAAAGAAACATGCGATGTCAAGGAAAATCTCTCTCCCTTGCGGATCTAATCCCTCGTAACCTGTTATAAGAATCTTCATAATTTTTTCATCCAATGTGAAATCACCCTCTAGTTTACGCAATTGACTGCTCCGTGCATCTAGATCTCTTCCATACAAAAAAGACCCCAAGACTTCAAGAGCTAATGGAAGGCCACTGGCATAGTCCACAAAACTGTACGACAGAGCCTTATAACTTTCAGGTGGATTCTCTCTAGGGAAGGCTCTCAAGTTAAAAAGTTTAAGAGCATCAACTTTACCCAGCTCCGGCACCTTAAATTGTTTTTCTACACCATGTGAAATTAGCAAGCGTTCATCTCTAGTCGTAATAATGATTCTACTCCCCTGACCAAACCAAGCTGGTTTTTCACATAGCTCTCTTAACTGGATACTATCGTCCACGTCATCAAGAATGATGAGAACCTTTTCTGAAGTAAGAAACTTCTCCATCTGGCAGCTTCACCGGCAGCCCAGTCTTGTATATTTCTTTTCATAAGGCTATTGGAAAGCTTCCTCTGTACACAGGCCATACCGTGTGCCTTAGAATCCTCTCTAACTCCGTCATGAAAGCTTTCGGCTTGAAATTTATGACGAATCCTCTCATAACATGCTTTGGCAAGGGTTGTCTTACCTATCCCACCCATCCCCCATATTCCTATAAAGAGAACATCATTTGACTCTAGTTCTAAAAGCACATCAAGTTCCTTCAGTTTCGATTCAATGTCAACTAGCTTTTCTGCAGGTTCCAATGATAAAGGTCCTACTTTATTCCGTACATTTTCAATAATTTGTTCGATGACATCTGGTTCTCTACAAGAAAAATAGACAATGTCAAGATATGACCTAATACACAAGGAAATAAAAGAGCCACAGACTATTTTTGTTTTCGTCCACCTGAAGTCATAGTACCAAGTGGTCTCTGCGTCCATCTATAAGAGGGTGGTTTGGTATTGGACAAAATTAGAGACGGTTTAGGAAAAGGGGAGGACAAAAAAGCGTAGCAGTATTGGATTTCAAACATATGACTTCTTAACTGGATCAATTTTTTCCCCTTAGACTCTCAAATGGACCAAATAATGGTAAAAAGAAAGGCTCTCTAGGATGGAACTGTAGGCATAAACACAGTCTACAAAGCCTCAATGTTTAGTCATTAAGTTGTATTGGGATTAAGCGGTTATGAAGCACCTTCATTACTGTGCAAAAAGTAAATGATATGAATTCTTCGATTTTCCTATAAGTTATTGTATCAGGCTTTAGAAGAATTGAATTATAAAAAAAATAGCAAGAATGAAGGGTCAAGTGCTGATTGCTAAAGCTTTTGAATTGAGTGAAAGAGAAAAACAAGTAATGCCAACCTATTCTTTGAAGTAGACCCTTTGATTTTTGCCACTTTTTGTAAGGCATCTTTCCATTGTTCCAAAATCACTTCGGCATTCTCACTCTTTGTCATTCTTACACTTTTGTTCGAGTTCAGTGAAGCCTTTCCCAAAACTCCCAGACCTATCTCCAACATCGCAGGGTTCCACCTGGTAGAAAACTGGTATAATTGCCCCTCTCTCTTCCATGCATTCAAGAATCTTTACGAGTTCGTTCAGGCACCATTTTGAAGAAGCGTAGTTTGGAGAGATGACCATGATGGCAAGCCTCGACTTTTCAATTGCCGGGAAGATTTCAGAAACTTTTCTTCCTATTTCAAGATCATTGTCATCAAAGAAAGTTCTTGTAATTCCTTGTTCTTCCAATTCCTTAAGTAGATGGGCGGTAAAACCTAAGCGCGTGTCGTCGCCCCTAAAACTCAAAAAGACATCATACTGCCATTCAAGAGCTGAAGGAAGAGATGAAGCGGCTCGTTGGGTGCTCGATGCCATTGAATACAAGCTAACTGGAATGGTGGTATTAGTTTTCCAAGCAAAAACATGACCAGAAAAATAATTCAGCATTCAAAATATTGTATTAGCCAATAACATGAACAGAAATAACCATGAATCAGAAAGATGAGCAATAACCTGTGTGTATGTAAGAAAATGAAGTCACAGATCAAGTCAGATCAAGTCAGAGGGGGCATGAGAGGGGCTACAAGTCTGTCTGTATGTCGTCAAGTCCAATCAATGCTTAGGTACACCAAGTTGCCTAGTGGCCGTCGTCGTCTAACGAAACTTCACCGCGGAGGCTTGATGGACGTGATTCAACTGCTGCTTCTATCCGACGGTCAAACCGCGTAAGCTCTATTTTCCCACTTTTTATTTTATTCGTTTGGTGATTCAACTGCTCCATTATTTTATTTTTGTGTAGCTCCATTATTATTTTTTATACTAATGCAGAGCACACCACAGTTGAATGTTTCTAACAAACACAAAATTTAATTGCATGCACTTCTTTTCTTCCAGAAACACAAAATTTAATTTTCTTTAAGTTGACCCAGTGCGTTTACTTAGACAATCACCTGTGCACTAGTTGGGAAAATTCATCCTCGGACTCATCGTCCTCATGGTTCACATTCACAAGTGGCACATAAAAATCAGGTGTTGAAATTAGAGATAAAATGTAGAAGATACTGTCGGCAAAAGCAAATAATTTTTGTTTTGTTTTTTTTTATTTTTTTGTTTTTGTTTTGTTTTTAATATAACCTAAGAAATAAACTGCAGCTAGAAATTGAAAGTAATGAAATAAAAATGAAAGAAAGTAAAGAAAAAGTTACTTTAAGTCTGTAGCTAGACGTCGCAGAAGCCCGGTGGCTAGATCACTGGTTCCTTCAGAGTCAAAGACTCGCTTGTACCAAACTTCTTTGGGAATGACTTTAGTAGAGACTTCTTGACCTTGAGCACACAACCCCTGCCCTCTAGTTCAATGTCCACATTACTGTTTTGAAAAACTTGCTTAACCATATAAGGTCCCTTCCACCGAGACTCTTGTCTCCCTGGAATTAACTTGAAACTGGAATTTAACAACCACATCTTTCTACCAGGCTGTATTTTTGCAACTTTTTATTCTTTCCCTTGATATTTGGATGTTTTTGGTCAATCTGGTGGCCTAGATAGTTGTCAAACAAAGTTGGTTCTGCTTTTGATTTTTACACTTCAACCGCCCGAACTTTTTGCTGTTGCACTTTACTATCACACTCACGAATCACATCTTGAGTCTTTATGAGCAGATGGTTAGTTAATGATCTGGTCATAAATTTGGCCTTAGGTAAACCATCTAATGCATCAACACGCATGCATTCTTTCTTGTCACTTGGATGTGTGATGACTTCAAACAAATTGAAAACAACTGTTTGATCTTCAACCCGTAGTGTTAATGTTCCTGCTTCAACATCAATAAGAGTTCGGGCTGTTGCCATGAAGGGTCGTCTCAAAATGATGGGTGTTGTCAAATCTTCATCCATGTCCAACACCATAAAATCAGCTGATAAATATAAATTGTCAACCTTAACAATAACATCTTCGATGATTCCTCTAGGATAGGTAATTGAACGGTCAGCCAATTGAATAATGTTGGAGGTTGGCTTCAGCTTGCTTTCACCTAAACGTTTAAAAACAGAATAAGGCATTAAGTTTACACTAGCACCTAAATCAATTAACGCACTTTAAAAATCAAAATTGCCAATAGTACAGGGAATAGTAAAACTCCCTGGATCTTTCTTCTTTGGAGGCAATTTGTGTAGTAGAACTGCACTGCATTGTTCTGTGAGCACAATTTTCTCTGTTTCCACGAGCTTTTTCTTCTTAGTGCAAACATCTTTCAAATATTTAGCATAAGAAGGAATCTTGTTAATCGCTTCCCACAATGGTAAATTATTTGAACTTTAGCCAATGTCTGTATGAAGTCTTTTAACTGCTGATCCTTAGCCTTTGGTATTAACCGTTCTGGATATGGTACTGGAGGATTATAAACACGCTCAGAAACCTGTTTTGGGACAGTTTCTGCACTGGTCAGATTCTGTTTTGATGCAGAATTGGCAGGTTCTACCCTTGTTTTTGCAGATTCTGTAGAAATTTTCACTGCTGGCAGATTCTGTTCAGTGCCATTTTCACGGTTGTCATAACTTTTACCACACCTTAAAGTCCGTATTGCACAACAATCCTCTGTACCTCTTGGATTATACATCATTTGACTAGGAAACCTTCCTTTTTCTCTGTCTGAAATCTGTGCAGCTAGCTGCCCAAATTGTAACTCTAAACTTTTAATTGATGCCTCAATATTCTGAAATCTTTGATTGCTGCCTTCCATGAATGTTTGTGTTGTTGCTGCCAGTTTAGTCATTTGATCCTCCAATGATGGTTTGGATGGTACAAAAGGTTTTTGTGCTTGTTGGAATGGTCTTGCATTATTTTGATTGTCACCCCATTTGAAATTATGATGATCATTCCATCCTGGATTGTAATGAGTTGCATATGCATCATTCCTAGGCCTTTGATAACTGTTCATCATATTAACATGTTGCTCGACAAGCTCTGGGTAAGATTCTTTATGTGGACAGCCCAATATGTCGTGTGTAGCCATGCTGCAGATAGTGTAGATTGTTGATGTAGGTTGCTGCTGCTGTGTAGAATTTGCTATCTGTTGTAAAATAATGTCAAACTTTGCATCAATTTTTTTCTCCATTTTTTCCATTTGTGCAGACATATTAGAGGAACCTGCTGATAACTCAAAAATGCCCCTTTTTTGTGAATGTTCTGCTGCCCACTCTTGAGATTCTGTAGCCATTGTATCAAATAATTCAAATGCTTCTCTTGCAGATTTATTTGACAATGAACCCCCATCTGATGCATTAACATGACTTTTAGATGTAGGATTAAGCCCATCAAAGAAAATATTCATTTGTTTATCTGAATCAATATTAGCATGTGGACACTTTATATACATTTCTGTATATCTCTCCCACGCTTCATGAAATTCTTCGTTTGGCTTTTGAGTGAATGTCATAATCTCCCGCTTGTAATTTAATGTCTTGGATGCCGGATAATATTTGTTCAGGAATTTTGTATGCAATTGTTGCCAAGTAGTAATGCTATTAGCTGGTAAAGTGAACAACCAAGTTTCTGCCTTATCCTTCAAAGTAAAAGGAAAAAGACGTAACTTAATAGCCTCGACAGAAAAACCCCTGATCAAAATATTTTTGCAACCCACGATGAATTTTGCAACATGTAAATTCGCATACTCGTTAGGCAGCCCACAAAAAGTAGGTAAAATTTCAAGCATATGGTGCTTGATCTCAAATGAATCACCATCTTCATGGGCAGGATACACAATACAATTAGGAACATCATTGACTCAGGCAGCCAATGACTCTCTGAGTGGCCTGCCTGCAGCAGGCAATTGCAACGCCATTGTGATTTTACTGCCTACAAAACCAGCAAACAATTCCTGCAGGAATGTGCCTTGCACTGCACAGTCCCAAACCAAATTATTTTCTCTCCCCTGTCTATGCAGTGTGCGTTCGGGTTCTGGACCAAACTGTGCAATCTGGGCAGTTCCTGATCTAGTTTGGACCATGCAATTTACAGAATCTACAATCACACAAAAGCGTTAAAATAATTTGAATTTTTTGTTGTCTTTTTTTGACGAAAAATAATATAAAAAAAAATAATCAGAAAAAGTTTAAACAAAAATTATCTAAAATAGTCCCCGGCAACGGCGCAAATTTCTTGATAGGATTTTTAACGTCTATGCAAATAGGGTCAAAATCACATGAAATACTTGCAAGAATACAAGGATGTTGTAGTATAGATGCTCATGCACGGTCGTTTTCCTCAATGATTATTTGGATAATTTATGTAGAAACAATTCCTAATTAAATATTTAGAGTTAAAACTTGAGAAAAGAGAGTTTGAGAGTGGGTAATATTAAAAGCGAATTTTAAGCAAAAACTAATATAATCAAAGAAAAGAGTTTTAAATACCAATTTATAAAGGCACCAGGGTTCCACCATCACCTAGCAATTTTATGTATTTTTACCAATTACTTATAATTTAGACATGCCACTTCGAAGGTTAGGTTTTCCTAATACATATTCTCCTCGTGATAGTCAAGCAAGAACATATATCTAACATGCAATCCGTATGTGATATTCAGATCAAATATGAATATGCAAGACTCATTAAGTTTTATGAAAACCTTTTGAAGAACCATGCAACCCCTAAGAACGTGATATTCGCCTTAGATGAAATTACAATTATCAATCACAAGAAGCAATACTCAATCCTCCGGTGATATTCCGACCGAATTGCATCCAATTACTTGTCTAAACATCCTAATAGTGGCCAGTCATCAAGATAATTAGATAGTTTAAAACAGTGATCAATAATTCAAAGTGTGCATGCAATCAATCATAAGCAATTAAATAAAAATTACATATTCATGCTAAGGCTCAAGGTTTCGCCCTAGCAAAAGGAATTAGTTATGCATATTCATAATTGAAATCATAGAGCTTATTATTAAAAATAAAAGGAATGAAAGCACCTTAAAGTAGAAAATCTCCAAGAACCCTAGCCAAGTTCTTTGTCTCTAAAGTTGAATAATAATAAGCGTAGAAAAAAACTATAGACGGCCAAAGCAATATATTTGCTCAGCCCTTACAAACCCTAAGACATAGGTTTCTTATTCCAACTAGGAAACTAAAAATAAAATAAAATATCTTAGAAAATAAAACCCTAATTAAACTAGGAATCTGCCAAGTACTTGTCCAGCCACGTTTTAGCCTCAGATCTCCTCCAAATCCAGCCCAAGATAGCTTGTTTTAAATAAGAACGTTCCGAACAGATCTCCAGAAGGCCACGAAACCATTCGAGGTCATCTTGGGCTCCAAAAACGCAATTTAAGCCCAGAAACGTCATTTTTCAGCACCGCGCATCGCTCCTTTATTTTATCGCCAAAAAATAACCGCTTGATGGAAAAATCCCAATTTTTGATACGATCAAGCTAAGTGACTCACGAACGTCTTCCAACTGGAATTACTCCAAAATTCGTCCATTTGACCACGTTTTGCTTCAGA